TCTCTCCACCCTGTCTCTTTCTCATTCCTTCTCTCTCTCTCTCTCTCTCTCTCTCTCTCTCTCTCTCTCTCTCAACCATATCTCTTCTCCCTCCTTGCTTCTTTTTGTTTCTTTCTCTCTCTCTTCCTACATGTAGCAAGCTGAAAATCTAAGCTATATAGTTTCCCTAACCTCTTACTCAAAACTCCTAGCTGCAACTTTCAGTGCAAGATGAACACATATACAATAGACAATATGACACCTAGTGATTTTTTACAGCTTAGAAACAACACAATATTACCAGTAGAAATGCTACTACTACATGATCAGCGCACGCCCATGATGGCTCAATGTTTCTTCTCAAAACAAAATTATTTTTTGAGAAGGTGTGGATTGTGTAAGATGGCATGTTTTCGAGGGTAGGGAAAAAGTCCATTAAAAACCATTTATCATGGGCTGGTGCTATGATAGGGTGTTTGCTGAGATGTGTCAGTGTAGACTGTTTTAATGTACAGTCTGTATAAAAAAATAGCTGTTAGTTTTACTAGTATGATGTCATTGTTTGCACAGGTGTCATTGAAAAAAATATCATTATCCTCGTCAGCTTGCAGCAATTTCTGAATGATTTGCTCTGTCTCTGATTTTTTATTTGATTTGACTTCATTGAATACACTGAAGGCAAAGGTTCAAGCGAAATGTGAGTTTAACAACTTCTGATAAATGTGTACCATACAAGAAAAATACAAGAAATGCACATCTCTCTCTCTCTCTTTCTCTCTCTCTCTCTCTCTCTCACACACACACACACACACACACACACACACACACACACACACACACACACACACACACACACACACACACACACACAAACACACAAACACAAACACACAAGCAACACATCATACAACCTCCAAAAGTTCACAGGTAAAGTCAACTCAAGATGAAACACTTTATGGGGCACCCAAAATCAGAAAGGGTGAGAGAACAACTTCCTACCCGCTGTCTATTTCTGCCCATCTTAACCGAGAGACGTCAGAACAATTTTGCAACCTTGTCTATTTCTCCACAGGTGGCTCTGAAAATTTAAGGAAGATGTGTTCCCTGGTTGACTTTTGACTATCTTTGAAGGGATCAGCAGACGAGGTTGTGTTTATCTGAGGAAATGTCAAATTGCCCAACCTTCATGGAAACTTATAAAAATATAGATATATTGCCCTATTTTTAAAACATTGTCCTGTTTTTAGTCTTCAAAGATAACTCAGATATAAGGCTCTTTTAAAGCAATATAACTAATATAATTTTTAATGGTGGAGAGAAACGGTGTTAAGTGGTTTAAAATCTTGGTTAATTTTCAGGAAAAGAAATGTCTAGCCTTTTTAGGAACTGGCTACATTTTGCCTGAAGGCCATGTCTGGTGACATTTGCAGATGCCAAATTTACATTCAGTTTTCCAAGAATGTTTTCAAGTAAAACATCAATTTATTGAAACTCAGTTGTACCACAGCGAAAGCAGTTTTTGCACAATTACAAGCACAGTTATGACAAAATCTGAACCCTACAAAGTTCTGGGTGTTTATAAAACAAGCAAGGTGCTGTCTCTCAAATCCCTCAAGTATCCTTGTCAGAAAGATGCATTCAAAAGATTCCATGAATTACTCTGTTACCTGTCTCAGTGGAAAGGTGTGTGTGTGTGTGTGTGTGTGTGCACGTGTGTGTGGTTATGTGTGTGCACGTGTCTGCCATGTATGTGTGTGCATGCACATGTGCATGCATGTGTGTGTGTGTGTGTACTTGTGTGGGAGGAGGTGTAGGGGTTTAACAGAAAAACATCTTACATTAAGTTTGAGCGACAACAGTTGTCAAACCCAGCCACATCAGCTGGCTAAAATATCCTTCTGTCTTACAGCACAATACAAACAACAAATACCAACTTCCGATTGCTTCCGTCAACCACCCGATAAGCGGTGACTGTCTTCACAGATAGCATCTAACCCTACCTAGTCCGGCTAATGGTATCGAGAGCAGACAAATGGTTGTCGGACATGACTGCTCACAGCTTAATAACAGCGACTGCGTTGACTCCTGTAGATTGACACAACAAAGGACGCAGCATGATGGGTCTCTTTACCACACTGACATTGATATAAAGTGCTACCTCCAAGTTGAACTGATATACCCAGATAAGGGATGGACTTGTAGTATTTTGAAACCAAAACATGGGGTATTTGTATGTTCTTCTTTGTAGTAAGTTCTTGCTAAGTGTTTTCTGAGAGGACAGTGAGAGAGAGAGAGAGAGAGAGAGAGAAAGAAGACACAGGACAAAACAAAAAAGAGACACAGGAAAAGAAGTTCTTAACCCTGGAGAGAGAGAGTGGGGGTGGTGGGGGCGGGGGTTCATTTCAACTTATCTCACTCAAGTCAGGACTTCAAGCAAGTCTCTTTCAAGGAGAAACAAAATAAAGATCTCAGTTCCGATGCACCATTTTCTTTCTTATTCTCTCCATTTCTTTCTTCATATTTTGTAACTTATAAAAAGAGTGGATGCAAGCAAACTCCACATATTTATCCGGCAAACTGCTGAAAAAAGAAGTCAATGCTGACATTCATACTGGTCTCTCAGACCGCATTCACAACAGCGGACTAACTAGTCTGCTGATCAAATATGGCCGACCAACTCGAATGATTGTGGCGTAATCCCAGGGATGAATCCATTTAGTATCTACCAGGGGATAAGTTGGCAAGCTTTTCAGTGGGTCACCATATTTGATCTATGAACTAGTTAGTCTGCTGTACTGAATGTGACCTCCACGTCCATGAACAGGCCTTACAAACAGATCAGGCGTTTACTAACACTACCTGCAGTCTTCAAGTCTACAATTATTTAGCACCAACAAAGCGATACCTAGCACTAACATTCATCCACTGTGGTAGTGCTGGTTAATCTGTGGGTTAGGTGGTTGATACGGGTGTTGGTGCTATAAGATATGTGGGTAGTGCTAGTAAATGCCTAATCCATTTATAAGGCCTGATGAAAAGCCTAGTTCACTTACCATACTGACACCTGGGGCCCTGAAAGCCTGCTGGACATGAGCAGAGTTGAGCTCCGTACCCCACTCCAGCCATACATCTGCCTCCATTAAAACATACGCCACTACTGCATACAGCTGGAAATACAGAATAATATCGATATGAATATGGTTTCTGACATTATCAACATCAACAAAAATATTCATTAAATATTTCACCTTGGATCCAATAACCACAGGATTTCATGTAAGGAAGATTGTCCAAATGAAAAAATTAAAGTAAAATATTAAGATATGATTGCAGCTCTTTCTTTAAATATCAGAACTTACAATTTTGGTCAGGCATTAGATGGTGTGTATATGTGTGTAAATATGTACTAAATTGATTTTCTGAAAAGAAGTCAAAAGTTTTACACAAGGAAAAAGATGTCAGAAAGAGCATAGACTTTTCTCTTGCACATTTCATTGCTGAGAAATTTTGTGGAAAAAAATCTATACTTGCTTCAAGAGGAATTTTTCTTTTCATGCTTCATATAATGCATAAGATATACAACAGTCCAAATGTGGACCGTTTAAATGTGAAATTCATCATCAATTTTCATAGCAAATATTTCTATCATCCTAAATACTTAGGAAAAATATTCAAAAATGTGAAAAGATATTATATTTCCTTTATGTGAAATTCTTCCGAACAATACTGGCAGCATAACAGACATTGTTGAAGTTTTCAAAAGGGCTCATTTTCAGATCACCACATTTCCTGCTAAACAAAAAATATCTGATGCAGCTTAATTAGCACATAATTGGGATTTAAGCAGAGATTCCCATGCACCATTGCATTTTCTGTCAAGATCAGAATCTTATGGCATGGGACAACTTATGTGCCATGGTCCTCCCATGAAGCAGAGTTGGATAGATTGTATATTTAGTTCTTTTCCCTTTACACCTTGACAGCATCTACCTCACTTTTTAATTCTTGAACAACAACAACAACAACAAAAACAACAACAACAGCAACAGAAGGTTCCGTGAATGTCCTTATGTATTTATAACAACTAGTGTATTTTAAATATTGTATACACGACAGAATATCTTACTTATAAACTAACAATCAATCCCAATATCCAGTTATGTTGAAAAAATTCTTTATCACAAAAATAACGCTGGTTTTATCAGGCATATTTTAAAATGTTGAAAGAAATATGAGTAACCTGACCTCTGCCGAAGAAATGAAAACATCAGTCGGGAGAAATACAAGCAATTTACTCAGTTTTCTCCATAATAAAAAGAAAACCGTGTCAGACATTGTGCAAAATTTTGGAAGAAATTCAAGACGTCTGCTTATTTTCCACTGATTTACTATAATTCATCCATAAAACAGGTGGAGGGCGCTGACACACAATCGAAACCCACTGAGAGGGAAACATAAATTTCTCTTACAAAACATTAAATGCTATTAGGAAAAAAATCGGAATCAATTACTTCAGAGTTATGTCAAATTTGCTCATTTTTGATTGCCACACTAAATCGTCATCCTATTAATGTTCCACACATGGTGAGCAAACTGAGAGTTGTATTTTGGGATTAAGAAAATGTCAGGGCTGTAGACACCAATTTTAATGCCCCTCCCCACCTCCAGTTACTGCAGCCTGAGAGCCTAATATCTGTATTTTTTTTCACCAGATAGCTTCAGCCTGTGCCTTACATGGTTCGGTCAGACCACCGTCTCAAATAAATTCCACTTTTCATAATTAAATCTTCTAAAGAAAAAATCTACAGACAATGAAAGCTAATTCAAAACAGCACAGACATCACCACTGTTGTAATGGCATAAACTTTGAAAATCTACTCTGATCCCAAATCCAACTGGTGGCAAACATCATAGATTGAAAAGGGACATATTTTTATTCTGTATCTGACAGATCACATGTACTTTCTCCAGTTTATCACTGCAACAACTTTTTTCACATACATCTAGACATAAGAAAAAGATGGGAATCTTACTGGGACAAGGTCCTACATGTTTATAATGGCCAATGTCTTTGTCACTACTTTTTCCATTTTATGATGCACACATATCCCATCAACTTATCAAAAAGGAAATGAAATCCTCAAGTTAGTAGTCTGCAACAACAAAATGATAACGTGAATGATATACTGACACAGGATTATGTTCCTGGCTCTGATATGTAGCCTTAGTTTCATTAATATTGAAGTAATCTGGTTCCTCAAAAGTTAGATAGATGGCGCTAGTTGTACAATAGTGCCCTTCTGTTTCTCTCTCTCTCCCCCCCCCCCCCCTCATCTTAAATAACCAACTACCACCAATACACCAGGACCACCACCTTTTATCTTTTGGTTATGACCTTGGTATATGCAGTTGTATGCATTTATCATTTTTGAAAAGAATACTTTTGGGGAAAAATCTTGAAGAATCAAAGAGCAATGGTGGTATTCATGGGAACCTCCTTTCTCTGTTCATTACAAGGAAGAGTAAGAAAATGATTCTTCAAAGAAAGTTTCTACAAAGGGCCTTTTGTGACTTTTTTTGTAAAATAATGCGTATCCACCCTTCCTTCCTGCACTGTTGGCAAGAAGACCAGCACTGTATCCATTGGGTGTAAGCTCCATTACAACATTACTGTTCCTCACAGAAGATGATGATATCACGATGCAATAAGTTTTAAAGTTCAACTATATATCTATTCCAAAACAATCAGCAACCGTGAAATATCAATGATTTCAATGAGAAGATTCAGGAAATTGAATTGAAACAAAACCAGGATACGATTGCCCAATGAACCGCCTCCTAATCCACTCAGACAACATGGGTTAATTTAGCAAAGGTGTTTTTCTTCTGGCAACTCTTGATTGTTTGATTCAGTTTGGCAAATCATGGAGAAAACAGTGCAGAAATGGCACTGCTGAGAGAGAGAGAGAGAGAGAGAGAGAGAGAGAGAGAGAGAGAGAGAGAGAGAGAGAGAAAGAAAGAGAAATATCCATTCTGCAGACTGCAGTTTCACAACATCAAATTAAAGCATCCTTATATCACCCTTACAAAACCAATATAGAGGGACACAAAAGGCTACAACATTTTGCCCAAATAACTTTGTCCACTTCAATTCAGGACAAAGAAAAAAGTGAAAAGATGGATACTTTCCACCCACCTGTCTAGCACTAGCTGACTTGATTACAGGCGTCTAGACAGAAATTAATTGAATTGCCAACCTTGTGTGACAGCCAAGAGCAGGGTCCAGGCCAAGAAACCCATTTAAGCCAATGGCCCAGTCAAATAGCCATCACCTTCTAGCTTATTTATAACCAAGACTTCACTGCATAAAATATTAGTCTGGGTTCCCATGCCTAGAGCGATCCATATGGATCGACCTAACTCCCTGGGGGTTCATGCTAAATTGCTATCAGCTTAAGAGGCTCAAATGTCTGCCACGCCTACCGAATCAGCTAGAGGGGTAAGTAACTTTCTTGCGCGCTCAGCCTCCCCGATAGCAGATAGCAATTTAGTGAGACTCCCTGTAGAGATAGATCAATTCAGATATCTGTGGGAATGGTCCCTTATTTTCAGGCATGGTCATCTCATGACTCTTATCCTCCAATTCAATACTGAGCCATATTGGGGAAAAAATTTAAAGATTTAAAGATGTGTTATTTTCAACACACTTCTTTAAAATTATAGGGGTAACACATTTTATACAATTTACTATCTATGGCAGCTTGAAAAATGAAATAATCAAAAAGCACTGCATAGTTTATCTTTGCTTATTTCAGTAATCTAAATAACTCAAAGTAAATACCCATAATAATAATAATAATAATTTATTAAGCCAATAAAATACAAATGTATAAAATCGGGAATCTTTTGCCCTGTAGTAGCGCCATTGAGAAATAAAAAAAATGAAAATTAAAATTACATGTTAGAGTTAAAAATAGTTACTGCCGAAGGATAAAAGCTATTTAAAAATCGCTTACTACCCTTAAAAGCTAAGAGTCTCGAATTGCTAGGTAAAAATTTAAAAAGGGTATGGGCTGGATGGGAACTGTCTGTCATTATTGATAATGTTTTCTTTTTAGTCCTGTCTAGATATATAGTATGGACGGGAGTTAGATCTGTTCCAATTACAATCCCTGCAGTTTCGACGATCTTTTCCAACTTGTTCCTCTCCTCCACAGTTGCACGTCCATACCAAACAGTTACTGAATAAGTTAAAATACTCTCTAAAACACACCTGTAAAAGTTCGTTAAAATAAACACATTTCTGGTAAAAGCTTTCAATTTCCTTAAGAAATACATTCGTTGACGTGCCTTTTTCAATAGCTTCGTGATGTTATCGCCCCAGGTTAACCTATTATTCAGCTGAACCCCTAGTAATTTATAATTAGAAACCTGTTCGACCGCTTTACCGTTAACTTCCAAGGGATTTTTACTTATCTGATTTCTTCTGAAGTCTATGATCATTTCTTTTGTTTTGCTCACATTTAATATCAAGTCATTGTCTGTGCACCAATTTACTAAACTTGTAACCGACTGCCTGTATGACATCTCATCATTATGGTGTATCAAGCCGACTAAAGTTGTGTCATCGGCAAACTTCATTAAAAATGTATTTTCCTCCCTCGCCACACAGTCGTGGGTGAATAACGTATATAAACAAATCTGAATTGGACAATTCAATAAAATAAACAATTTTATCATCAAAGCAACAGCTGCATGGACTTATTCCATGTGGTTGACTATTCTTCCTTCTGGTTTCCTAATAAAATCTTTTAAAGACATTTCCTCAAATATTGGTTACTTTATTTCTACAGTGCCAATTTAACAAACATCCATGAGTCTACCCCCCCCCCCCCCCCCACCAACCCATCCCCAATCAAAATCATCTTTCAAAGGTCATGGCATTGTGACCAATCAAAACAATCCTTACATTGTTCCCCAAGGGGCAAAGCCACTTTTAGCCAAACTGTTAAAACTAATATTGTGCTTTTCTTTCCAATGCCTGGTTAAGCGCTGGCAATAGACACGAGTTACTGTTGGTAAAATAACCTTATAGCATTCCCCTCCCCTTTAAATCTCTTCTATGTATATAATTCTAAAAGAATCATTTTATCTGTCACAATATATT